TGAGCAGGAGGATGCGCCATGACCATGTCCATGTCCGTTTCCGCTGTCCGCACGCCGGAAGCGGCGGCCAGCTATCAATGCTGCGCTCCTCCCCTTCCTCTCTTGGCCTGGCATGATTTCACATTAATTTCGCCTGCGTATGCAAATACAATTCCAAACAAATCGAATTAATTTAATACGAGATTTTGATTTGGTTTTTGCCAAATGCTAAATGTATATATTTTTCCCCTGTTTGGCAATGTTCGGGCATTAACTTAATTGCATTTAAATTGAAAATATCGCAAGTGCATTGCGAACGAGTTTTAATTAAAACGAAAATAAATAATCAATCGCCGGATGTGGAGCATTGAAGCACAGGAGCTGGAATATTGACCCTTTTCTGGCTACCTTTTATGGTGCTGATAAAGGAAAAGGTTTTAAAATGTTGGAAATAAAATATAAATTTAAGTTTTATTGAAAGGAAACAATTTTAAGAAGGGGTTTATGCTTGTATTTCAGCCAGAATTTCATTTTTTGTGGGCTCTAAATTCTGTTGAAAATGTTTATAATAATAAATAAATAAGAAAATTCATTTACTCTTATAGAAAAACTAATTGTTGTGCTTTCTATTATATTTTTTACAAGAGATACCGCTTTAATCACTTCCTATAAGGACTCTGCCCTTGGCCAAACATGGTCCGGTTCATTCATCATACTCAACTGCTAATGAGCTTCGCTCCCCATATAGCTCCCAGCTCCTTCTCCCACTCCTCGCGGCGGCCTGTCAAAACGCAATTTGATTATTAGATGCCATCGTGGCGGTCGTCTGAAATTCCATCCAATCGAATGGGCTGCTGCTCCGCGATAAAGGTGTGTTAGGACTGCCAATCGATAAGCGCCGAAGCTTTGAAGCGCCTTTGCCGGAGCGCCCTCCTTCCTGCACATCAGTCACTGTCACCGAACCAACCGCAAATGGGCAACCTCCATGGTCCCACTTCCAGTTCCGATCCCACCGACTACCCACCACCCACCAGGCCATGCCGAAGCGTGATTAATGCGTTGACGTTGCAGCTAAGCCCGCTGTTGCCCGGCCATCAGCGGCAGATACAGGCCAAGATATCGGACAAAAAACGTATGGCCATGGCTCTCCAGATAATGCCCCGGCCAAGTTTTGCTCCGATTTGTAATGTTTTGATTGCCGGGGACGCGTGGCAGGACTTTTTGGTCCAAGGACACGTGCCGGCATTTGCAAGCGTAAGGTTTCGCGGATTAATTTCAATTTGTGAAGGGAGGGTGGAGCTTTGCTGCTAATTATGTGTGGAATGTTTTGGATAAACACAATGCATTGAGGAACAACAGGAAAAGGGGCAGGCACTGGAACGGAGACAGGGACTGCAGCGGCAAAAAGGACAACCAGACCAAAGGCGGCCACTTGCCAGTGGGTGTTGATGTTGGCATCGCTTGCTGCTGATGCTGATGCTGCTGCTGCTGATGTTGCCGGCCTAATCCGTAAGTGTCGTTCTCAAGCACGCAGCAGCGGCAGGCGCTGATAGAGCACACACACACACCCGGAACCCGGACAAAGGAGGAGGACCCTGGACTATGGACTCCAAGCCCGCCTGCCTGCCCGCCCGCTTATAATGATGTGGCGCTGTCGCTGTTGCTGTCGACATCGACGTGTCATCGACGACCGGCAACGGTTTTGGGCGGGGTCCGCAGCCAGCCTGTTGGTCAGAGATAACAGCAATTTATTTTCAAGTCATCATTTTAATTATCCCGTTCGCCGGCACTGGCAATGGGAATAATGCTGGCAACCTTGCGACTGAGCTGGGCGCGGCTCGCATTAAACGTGACAACCAACAGCAACAGCAACAACAACCGTCGCACGAGGGCCGCCATTTTGCTCATTAAAATATAATATGTATTTTTTAATTTCACAGAAATGTTTGCACAAAAATTTTCTCGAAACAAAGTTGAGAGAGCGACGACGCCGCCGTTGTCTCCCACCATTTCCTTTTTCCTTTCTGGCCCGGCCTCGTACATTTCCATCTTTTATTCCATGTCTGTCTCCGGCTGCAGCCCGAAAAAATCCTTTTTTCCTTTTTGTTTCCCCTTGTTATATTCTTTTTTCCATTTGCCTAACCAGGACTAACCCCAAAGCAGCTCCACCTCCAACTTCCCAACGCCCTCGCCCTCGTCCGCGCCCCAAAACATCAACCCATCCGCCATCATGCGTTTTTATAACCGGAAGCGTTCATGAGAAAGTTTCCGCTTTCATAACCGAATTTTAATTAACTTTCGAAAACCTAATTACAAAGTATTATTATAATGAAAAAGCAGTGCACAAAGCGAGTGGAGAGGCGCCGTGAGGCGGGTCTCCCCGGTCCGGGTCTGGAGTCCGGGTCCATGGGGGTCTCCACGTAGAGAGCAGGCAGCCAACCGAGCGAGTGCTGCCCCTGCAGCGACATCCATGACTCCATCCTCCAAGCTGCGTGTTTGTTACACGGGAAAAAATAAGGAAAACTATCAAAGTTGGGGAGAAAACATATCTGATTACATACTGAAATGTATTTATGTTTGAAGATACTTAAATAAAGAAAAAACATTTAAGCTCCTCCAGGCTTAATTCCTATATTTAAACACTCTATTCCCTTATTTTTCCCAGTGCTTGTTCGCTGTCTTTGAGTGCCTTCATGCCCCGGATATCTGAAGAGTGGAGCATGGAGGTCGCCGGATAGCAAAGGCACTACTTCCTGTGTATCCATCCGGCATAAGCTCAGGAAAAAAGGGTTGCCCGACCACTTTTTCAGCGCCAGCCGGCAGGAGCATCTCCTCCGCTTTGTGTGCCCAACTCTGGCTGTGTCTCGTTTTAAAATTAAATATTCCATTAGAAAATTACTACAAGATTGTGGTTCTTTATTAGCAGCAGCAGCAGCAGCAACAGCAGCCAGCTGGCTGGCTGGGATAGAGACTCAACCAAATCCAACTTTGTTGCCCGCAAAAACCGAGCTGAAACAGAAATTTGTCTGCTTTATAAAATGGCCAAAAATGGCTCCTTGCCACTTTAAAACTTAATATTTTCGAGCTTGGTAAATAATAGATTTTTCGGGGAAATACGTCAGACATGCAATGCTGATGATGATCATCAATTTTTAATAACCAAAATGTCATGACAAATTTTTCCTATTTGCCAATTTCCTAATGGTTGTGTTTTCCTCTAGTTGTGAAAGTTCAGCTTAGCTTGTTTGTGGAAATGGAATTTTAAATTTGTACCCGAATAATGGCAAATTGATGGCGTGGCGGGGCATTTAAGAATAGATATGCGGGGAATACTATGGCCGGGCCTTGTCTAGAGAGCTCAACAAACTCGGGGAGCTCCCCTGAACCTCAAACGGCGTCTTCAGCGCGCATGTCTGGCATTAAGGCATCGATATATAATACTCTGAGGGGTCGAGTGGGTGGTGGTGGCAAGTGGCAAGTGGCAGTTGGGGGTTGGGTGGTTGTCTCTGTGGAAGAACCAACCCCAAAACACAGATTTCCTAAGCCAGCCACGATGGGGTTGTTTGCCAGCCGGGTTGAAATGAAGAAACTCCGCCAGAACGAACGCTCGCTGACTGACAGTCACAATGTCAAGGAAAAATCGAAATTGAAGCGACAACAAACCAAACGCCATTTTGTTGTGGCTCCCAGACCAAGTCCCAGTCCCAGTCCCCGTTCCAGACCCAGTTGCGGTCCCAGCTCCTCCAAACCCTCATGCCCGGGGGACAACAAAGCGAGCTCTTTATGGAACAGCAGGCTATAAAAAATGTATTAAAGCCAGCCAGTCGCCCCCACATGCACATGTATAAATAAAATGTCGCCCATAGAACATATAGAAATGGTGACCTTCCCGTTTAATTAAAAAAGACAACAGCTTGTCAAACATGGCCCCAGCCGGGCTCTGGAGATAAGTGAATCGTTGGCCTGGCGAAAAAATGTTTAATGCCTACGGTATGTCCGAGGAGAAGTCTCGCTCCAAGTGAATCACACCGATGGTAATCAACGGTGGAAGGGTTCTGGTTAACTGTCATTACCTGCGCTTTTGAAGGGGGAATTGCGTCGGATCAGGCTGTTTATATGGCACAGATAAGGGCCCCGATAGGGAATGTACTCGTACTCGCACTCGTACTGCTCCATGAATATTACTAGAAAGCAAACAGAATGGAAGGGAGCTGGGCTGAGCTCTCAGCGGTCTTGGGAAGAGGGAACTGGGATAGGCGACAGGGTTGGGCCTGAGATGGGTTAGTCAGTATGTCAGGTCCTGGTTGTTTACCTTCTTTCCGTTCCGTTGCAATTTATGAGTGCAGCGCGATAAGGGTTTATCATCGGGCAGTTAGGGGATCGCGGATCGGGATCGGGTATCGGGGTATCGGTGGAAAAACTGCACTCTGCATCTGAGTGACACCGATAAGATAGCGTCTCCTGGAACTACTACCAGGCTATCGGTCGTTCAATTCGCTGCATCGCCGTACTATGTGTATATGGAGATATAGAGATATAGCCCGCCGATACTCGACAGATAGGCCAGCCCAATCAATATAGAAATGATTGTTGGAGGTCAGTTGTTTGTGTCAACAAAGGTGGCACTCTCCGATGGCTGATTGCTGGCAAATGAAAACTAATTTATGATCTTTTTTTTCTTGTATTTCAAACATTAAAATAGTCGATTTGTTGTATTTTTTAATAATATTAATTTTAACTAGCTTTAGAGTTGGATTTGAATTCTTGCATTGACATTTATTGAATTTTTATATTGTGTATTTTACAATAATTTTCATGTTTGTGTTTATATTTAGACTATTTTTTTTTTGTTTTGTTATCAAGTTTAATTAATTAGCTTAGCTCAATGTAAAAATGTTTCATTCGCTTTTTATGGGGTTTTTTTACGCTTGTTTTGTTTTTTCTGTTTACGCACAATATAACTAATATTAAAAATTATTGAATAATAATTGCAGTTTTTTTCGCTTTTATGTGGCGCTGGTTTTCCATTTTTTCTGTGTTTCGCTTTCATTATTTATGCTAATTAAATGTTAAATGCTATACAATATTTATATTTATGTTATATTTACTCTCATGTGGTTTTGTGGCATAATTTCATACAATTTGATTAATTCTCGAGTTAGTTAAAAGTGGCTGCTTGCAATTGGGCTCATTATGTTAGTTATGTTGGGGGCTTCGCTTAGAGATATCTATTTATAGACTATGTACAAAATGCCTTAGACTAACGAATTCGTACAACAACTGAAGACACACACAGAATGTAAATGAAATGCTGGCTTATCGGCGTATATATATATAAAAATGATAAATTATATAGTGTAAGAACGACGTTTCCTACATATGCATGGCCAGATTTTTGTTGCTTAGATAGTTTTGAAGATTCTTAGGGTTTTTTGCTGGGCGTTACGATGCTTTTTTAGTTTGTAGAATTTTTTGGTTTTTGATCATTTGCGATTCGAATTCGATTGCGATTGCGATTGCCTTTGGACAAAGGTTTTTAGTGTTTGTATCTCTCCTCTTGGAATCTGCTTAGTTAGGCTTTTGAAAGGACATTACACACGATCCCTACTCTCTCTCTCTCTCTCCCTCACTATTGGTGATACATTTAAAATGCTTTAAATTTTTAGTTTTAACCGCTTTGATTGTTATTGCTTGTTTCGAAACAACGAAAACAAATGGCACGGAATTATTATTTTTGTGTTTGTATATTAGCAAAACATAAAAATGTTAACAAAAGTTCTGCTGCACTTACAACTACATCACTTTTTCTTTCGATTCTCGAATAACCCCCACAGAAGGGCTTGGTCCTGGGGGTAGAGTTTCGACTGAATCCACAGAAAGGAGACTGAACCTAGAAGTATCTCTAGGATTTCAAAGTTTTCTTGGATATTTACACATTTTCTAGATGTTTAAATATTTTAAAAAAGTATTTATAAGATACTCTACATCCTACAAAAGATACTGTCGGTCCAATCAATCTCAACCTCTGTGGACACATTCAAAACTCTAACCCGAACCTCGATCGCTCTATGTACAGGTGCGAGGCGGCCAACTCACGTGCTCAAAGGATGCGCCCAGGTGCTAAAAGCCGCTGGCACGGCACTCGCTAATTGGCGGGCGGACGGATGGAGGAGATGGTGATACCACTCCGCTCCCGCTCCCACTCCCGCTCCGAGGGCCAACTTGGGGGCTACAGCTACAGCAGGTTCTGCAGGGCGGCGGCTCCGTTGAAGGTGAGGCTGTGATTCCAGTTCCGGTAGCCGGCCGCCGCGGCGTACTGCTGGTAGTTGTTGTACAACTGCTGCTGCGCCGCCTGGTGCTGCTGCAGTTGCTCCTCGCTTAGGTCGCTGGTGATGTTCGAGGAGTCCTCCTGGAGCTCTGCCGCCAGCTGGCTGTGCAGCAATTGCTGCTGTTGCTGGTGTTGCTGCTGCTGTTGTTGCTGCTGCTGTTGTTGCTGCTGTTGTTGTTGCTGTTGCTGCTGCTGGAGTAGCTTCTGTGTGTAGTTGGAGCCCCCTGATCCCGATCCTGAACCGGATGCCGAACCAGAGCCGGAGCCTGAGCCTCCCGATCCTGAGCCCGATCCCGCCTTGCCGCTGGCCTTGGCTGCCGCTGATGTGGTGTTTGAAGCGGATGTCAGTTGCTGCGCCGCCTGCTGCAGCTGCTGCGCCTGCTGCTGCTGCTGCTGTTGCTGCTGCTGCGCCTGCTGCAGCTGGTGCTGCTGCTGCTGGTGGTGCTGCTGCTGCTGCAAGTGCTGTTGCTGCTGCGAGCGCAGCATCTGCTCCGCGCGTCCTTAAGCCAGCGGGTACTGGTGGTGTCACAAGCTCGTGGTGCCGGCGGGCGCATGGTAGCCGAGGCTCTGGTAGTACGAGTCCTGGCCTAAGGCAGCGTGTGTGTTGGTCAGCGGACTGAGCGCGTTGTAGCCGGCGTACTGGCTCATGTCGTACATCTTGATGTCCGCCTTCGACTCCGTGGGCAGCAGGCGGTTGATGGAGAACGGGTGGCTGGAGGGCGTGTAGCCGGAGGGCTCCTGCTTCAGCGGGTGCATCGACGAGTGGTAGTCGCTGATCAGCGACGGGTGGCACCTATTCGCCATCATGGCCGACAACTCCTCCTGCTGCAGCTGGTGGTGCTGGTGGTGATGATGCGTGGGCACATGCTGGGGCTGCTGGCTGAGGCACAGCTCCGCGTTGGCATGCAGCATGGCCAGAGCCTCTGCGTCCTTGCTATGCGCCGCGCTCAGCACATTGACTCCCACTCCCACGCCAACTCCCACACCAGGGATCGAGGAGCCACCCGCGTCCTTGTGGTGCTGATGGTGATCCAGCCGACTGTGGTGGTGATGGTGCATGTGATGCGAATCCTCGTGGTCCTTCTTGCCCGGACTGGTCGCCTCCAGGCTGCTGTGCGACGGACTCTTGTGCAGCTGCCTGATGGCCTCCTTCTTCTCGTCCTTGAAGCGCTTCTGCCGACGCAGATAGCAGCCGTTCTCGAACATATTCCCCGAGTCCGGGTGCAGGGTCCAGAAGGAGCCCTTGCCGGGCTTGTCCGGCGTCCGCGGGATCTTCACGAAGCAGTCGTTGAAGCTCAGCGAGTGCCGGATGGAGTTCTGCCAGCGCTGCTGGTTCTGCCTGTAGAACGGGAACAGGTCCATGATGAACTGATAGATCTCGGAGAGCGTCAGCATCCGTGTCGGGTTGTTCTGGATGGCCATCGTGATCAGCGAGATGTAGCTGTACGGCGGCTTGGCATGCGTGTAGCTCCTGCGGTAGGTGGTGGGCTTATCTACGCGCGATCTCCCCAGAGAGTTGGGCGATCCCGTCTCCATGTCCCGCGATCCCGTCGGCATACCGCCATAGGTGGCATTCAATCCCGCCGCCGACATACTGGCCGCCGACATGGCCATGCATCCGCTCATGTTTCCCAGCGGGGAACCCATGCTGGCATAGCTCATCGAGCTGGGGGTCATGCAGTTGCCGCCCATGGAGTTCATGGCTGCGGCACCCATGCTGCCGCTCATGCTGGCCACAGCCGCTGCCGAGTCCAAGACGCTGGATCCAAAGGTGGCTGCCGCCTGGGGCGACACTGAGGACATTCCGCCCACCGGCAATCCCATGCTGTTCATCGTGTAGGCGGACCTGGCCAAGGGGCTCATGCTCCCACCGCCGTTGCTTGTGGGATTTGGATTGTTTTGGCTGCCGGGTGGAGGTGGTCCTCCGCCGCCGCCACCGCCACCGCCACCCGACGCAGGACCGCCGGAGCTGGCCATGCTCACGGGAGCACTGCTGGGCGGCGGCTCCGCGTAGAGCTTCTGCATGATGTCAATGGTGGTCTGGTGGGGGCTACCCTTCAGGAAGCTGTTCAATAGTTGCGCCGTTATGTTGCCGGCTTGGGTACGCTGCACCGATGGAAAAGGCAACGCGTGCGGGGGACGCGTTCGTAAAAAGGAAAATCAAAAAGGAGATCGTTTTTTGCTTTTGTTTTTTGTTTCTTTCAGTGCACTATCACTGCATCAATGGGTTTGCATATTTCGGGCATTCTGGCCACTAGCACTGTCACTCACTGTTTTGGTAGTTGGTAGTTGCTAGTTGGTAGTACTAGCCAGTTGTGGGTTGTTCTGGGCTTTGTTTGTGCACTTAAACACTGGGCACTGGCCTTAATTTATTTGTGTGTTGCCGCCGTTAAATAACGTGGCAAATATGGCTCTATTTTCGTTACGATTCAGCTGCCGCGCACCGCCACAGACAAGACAAAAAACCGACGCACGAACGTGGATAGCTAGCTGGCTTTTGGCCACTAAAGTCCAAAGCTAGAGCTGGGAGCTGGAGTTGCAGCTGCCTTGCTGCTTGCTGCTTTTTCTGCTGCTGCTGCTGATGCTGATGCTGCTGTTGATGCTGAGGCTGAGCTGTTGCTGGTCCGCTCGAGTGTCTCTTTGGCTTGAGCTCTTGAATGTGACTGTTTGCAGAGGGGAACGCTTGTCTACTATTTGGCTTGCGCTTGCTGCCAACAAATATTGTTCGAGCCGCGCTCAAGTGCCGACGCCGGCAGAGCAGTCGACGCTGTCGGCGGCAGCAGCAACTCCTACTCGTTCTCCCTCGCGCTCACATGGCCTGCCATAGCCGGCTATCTCGCACACACACACCACCAAGCTGCAAATGGCCAATGGGGAGCGACGACTCTCTTACGCACACAGCGGCAGGGCGGCGCAAGCGCATTGGCCAAGCGGCTCTTGTATCAACAGAGCAGCAGCAGCGGCAGCCGTTGTCCCGGTTGCCAGGCAACTGTGTGTGTGTCCGTGTGTGTCTCTGTCAAAGGAGGCGTGGCCAACGGAAACGCCCTCGCAGCTGCGACTCACACACACACTCTCACACAGACACACTTATAGAGAGACAGGAAAGCTGAGCGACGCCATGTTACAGTTAACGATTTTCCCTAATGCGATCAATAATCGCTGGCTCTCTCTCACACTCTCTGGCTCTTCCGCTTACCAAAAATACAAAAAGCTGCAAAAAAAAAAAGAAGTACAAAAAAATAAGAAAACAAAGTCTGGAAACTCGCTCTGTTTTGGCAGAGAACCCGGCTGCCTCCGTTCTTTCTGCTGCCGCTATTCCTTGGCTCCCCAAAGAAGACATTAATAATGGGTGAGTGTGTGTGTGTGGTGTGTGTTTATGTGTGTTTTTTCGTACCGCTCGCCTGGCTTTTTATACCCTTGCAGGGTATTATAATTTCAGTCAGAAGTTTGCAACGCAGTGAAGGAGACCTTTCCGACCCTATAAAGTATATATATTCTTGATCAGTATCAACAGCCGAGTCGATCTAGCCATGTCCGTCTGTCCGTCTGTCCGTCTGTCCGTCTGTCCGTCCGTCCGTCCGTCCGTCCGTCCGTCCGTCTGTCCGTTTCTACGCAAACTAGTCCCTCAGTTTTAAAGCTATCTGAATGAAACTTTGCATATAGTCTTCTATATGCTCTCACTGCTATATATGTCGGAACGGGCCGGATCGGACGACTATATCATATAGCTGCCATACAAATGTTCGATATATTTCTAGAAAAAAATTTATAACTTTGCTGTTTTTCAACATTTTTGCACCATTTTTTAGATATGGCCATTCTATATTATTTCAGAATTTTGGTAAAAATTTTATCAAAATCGGACGACTATATGATATAGCTGCCATAGGAACGGTCGAGAAATAAATAGGAAAAAAAATTATAGTTTCGTTGTTTTTCAACGTATGTTTATCTACTCTGAGATATAATATTTTTTTATTATTCTAGAATTATGGTATAAATTTCATAAAAATCGGACAACTATATCATATAGCTGCCATATAAACCGATCGGTAGATGTAGAGAAAATGTAAAACTGGGAATGTAAAACTGTAACTGTCAAACTGTAAACATAATAAGTATAGGTAAAATGTAATGAAACTCTGTTTTGTGAGTGTTTTCAGCATTTAAATCTATAATATAAACATCGAAACCAATCTGCAAGGGTATACAAACATCGGCGTGCCGAAGTTAGCTTCCTTTCTTGTTTGAGGTTAAGGTATGCCAATGTCACTCTCATTCATTCCCGTCCGTCCGCATTCGCATTCGTGGCGAGGCCTCGCGACCGGCAACAGCAGCGCAGCGTTCTCCTTTTTTGGCAAGTCATTGCGAAAGTGACCCAGTTCTGCGGCCTCAGCATCATCTCCAACCATATATCCATCATCTCATGCATCATCTCCCTTGCATCAGCATCCTTCCAGGTAGCAGCAGGATAACGCGTTCATTGATGCCGGCAAGCGGAGGCAGCGCGTGCTCTGGCTGCCGCCACTTCCTGGTAGGAACACCCAGACCTTTATGGCCGCGGATAAAACGCATTTTAATTTCGGCCATAAACCAGACTCGGAACGAGACCAAATCGCTTGCCTTTCATTCAGTGCACATTCCGCTTAACCCTTTCACCCCAGCCAAGTGTTGTGTCTGTGACAGTGTCTCTGTGTGTGTGTGTGAGCCAAACTCATTATTGCAGCCATAAACCTGGCAATTGTCTCGTTTCTCAATGAAAGTTCTTGCTCAATCGATATTTGTTGCTTTACCTAAGTAATAGGAAATGCAAGGAATTTCCGTATTAGCTGAATTGCAGTTTTCTTTTTGATTTAATATTTTCTTAATCGAAACATAGATCTTCATGGGATTAAAAATGATCCTAAAAGTGATCCCTAAGACTTTAACTTTCAAATGATCAAAGCTTGGATTCAATAGGTTTTTATAGAATTATAGAAATCAAACCTTCTCCTAGTCTGTTAAAGACCAAAGCCTATCTTAAGATGCAACAATAACTTGTCAATGACTAGTAGATGTTATAATTTAAAGTATAAATAATATTAATTATTTATATAATACGCTAATATGAGCTCTAAGCCTCTCCAAGGAGTTTAATTAGAAGCTCTTAATCAGTTCTTTATAGGGAAATGACTTTTTTCTGTTCTATATACTTTCCATTCTACAGATCTGAATAACTTATCGTCTTATCATTTCAATTAGCATTTTTAATTATTTTAATAACAAATAGAAATCGACTATAGAAACATATAATCGAGTAATTCCAATCAGCAATTGTTTCTTATTAAATCTAACCCCTAATATCCCGATCAGTAATTGTTTATTATTTAATATTATCATCATATTCCAATCAGTAATTGTTCATTATTAAATCTAACCCCTAATATCCCGACCAGGCAATTGTTTATTAAGCCCAGAAAACCGTTTGTTTATGTGCACAGCAAGCAGGGCAGTCACATTCACCACTCGGATATATATCTATATCTCATCATCATAATCATTACACACCAAATATCGCTGGTGTCTGAACACACATATGTACTTAAATCTTTATGTGCACTTCTAATAACCGTAATGTGCTTAAATATTTAATATTTTTATTGTATTTCACAGGCAATTCAAGTGGCTTTGGCTCATTAATGTTTGCCATCGCAGCAGTCGTACGGCCGAATGTGTACGTTTTTTTTGGCGTAGACTCTCCGCAAATAGTAATGCCAGCAGTCCAAAAATGTGTATTTATTTACCTTTTAGTCATTTATCTATTTATTTATTTGCTTTAAAAGCGCGCCACTGTGGGTCGGATTTGATACAGTGCCACTCGTAGTCGCACTCGCACAGTGGAGCCCCGTTCGGCTGCACTCGGCAATCGAGCGGGTCTAAGCCATGCTCAAACTTTTTAATTAGTTTCAATTGTTTCACCCCCCTATCCCTCCCGAATGGAGGATATTTATGGAAAATATTTGCCTTTCTGCTTTTTTCCCGCCGTTGTTTTGATTTTGTTGTCGGCGGTGGAGCTGTTGATATTGCTTTAAAATGCTGCGCTTTCTGTTTGTTTTAAGCATTTGTGTGACGCATGCGCCGTGTGGCAGTGACTTTACAAAAATATATATATATATATCCCATATATTGTATATCTATCAAAGCATTTGACCAACATTTCTCAGCTGGACGTATCTGTGCCTGTATCTGTATCTATATCGGTATCGGTGTATTGCCATAATATGTATAATATTTATTTTTATTGTTATTATTTGTTACTGTTGATTTATTTGTTTGTACAACATTTTCACACAAATTAAAATACCCGGCCATACCCGTCGGTCATCAATGTCGTTTAAATTGTTTTTATTTGCTTTATTTGCTTTGTGCTTTTTTGGCTTAACCCAATTATCGGGGCTTATTAGTGATTATTTAATCATTTGCCACAACACCAGATGATCGCAATGTTCTAATATGTGAGGTAAACAAAAGACGAGGGATCTTGCAGAATCTTGGGGAGTATTCTTTGGAATAATTAAAAAATATAAATACGGGTATTTAGAATTTTCTGTAGAATATTAGATATAATAAAATTATAGAAGGAAGGAATTTCCCTATACTATAAGATTTAGTCAGAGACCAATGGAATTTTTTTGTTTATTTTTTACTAATCTTTTGTTGTAGTTTACACACGTAGACAAACTGGTTTTGGTTAGCAGTTAAATGTGGTTTCGGTTCTTTTTAACTTATTAGTATTTAATTTGTACCAATATTTCCATGAAATTGAATTCTAAAGACACAGTTTTTGGCTGTATGTAATTATTATTCTTTGAATATTTAAAAACATACTTTTAATGTATATTGAATAAATAATTTGTATATTATTTACAATTTTCTCAGCTTATTATTCTCTCTTATCTTGGCTTTAAACGTTAAATTAACTCATTATTAAGGACTTTTTAAAATTTTAAAATACTCAACAAAACTATTGTCTATGTGGTTTTCTTATCATTTATTTTTCCTTATTCTTTTCTTTATAAGATCCTTGCACTTTATAATTACATCTAGCTTCCTTCCATCATATAAGAAGATTTTAAATACCTTTTAGAAATTTAGATGTTACTTTTAATAACAAAAACATTTTATAAAACGGTGCCGTATGATAAATATTTTCTTATAAATAATTGATTAGGAGTTAAATCACAATTAAGGTAACTTAGTTATCTTAAATCTCTCACTTAAATAATTAATTACCAAGTAAGAAAGGTCCAAAATCTGATTACGTAACATGGACATTCTGTTTGCAGAACTTTATTGAGTCTGTCGGCTGCTTTAGGTGTATCTCCTAGATACTTTTTGCATAGCTCTAAGTATCGGCGGTATCCGTATCTGCGGCTGCGTGTGTATCTAGGTCTTTGTATTGCGTGTGCCGTAATGAGCGTGGCCATAAAAGCGTCTTTTGTTTTACGACCACATTGCGCGCGTGTTTACCGTAGAAAACAATGCCAATTTTATGACTGCCTGCCCCTGCCACGAGGAGCCGCATCCCGGTCCAGTCCGGCGATAGCCGCCGATATCCCATATAGCATACAGACCACATATACACGTACCTTATGGCATGGTGCAAAGGTGACACCGAAACTGGAGCAGTCGCTGCATTA